TTCGCCCTTCTCCTTGAGACTCTGAAGAGGCCTCAGGAACTGGGCATTTGTGTTGCACATGAGGCCCTGCAGTGGCAGCCCTGCTGGGAGGACAGGAGGAAGGGCACTGGCTGTGCTGTTGGCAGCTCCACTCCCCACATGTGCATGTTCAGGAATCGCAGCAACGTGGACTCTCTGTGGATACCGCCCCCACCCAGGTTGCAGTTTGGGTTCCAAAAGTCCAATTGCCAGTGGATTCTGGGGGAATTTGAATAAAGAAGGAGCCTAGCCTTGGAGTTGTTCATTCACTTGCAGAATTTCTCTACTCATGCCAGCTGCTCTGACAGGAAGATGAATCCGTCACGGTTCCTGCTTTTCAAAGCTCTCTAAGTGAAGTGACTCATTTAAGGTCATAGGAACCCGTATGAGGCAGCTGGGACTAGATCCCAGGTCTCCTGCCTCACTGCAGCATGGAGCCTTTCAGCATCTCCAAACCAGCCCAGCCCACCAATGTGGAGGGCAGAACAGAAGCATTCACACACACTGTGGAGACAGCCATTCATTCATTCATTCCTTGTTCATTCATTCATTCATTCGTTCATTCATCCATCCACCCATCCATTCATTCATTCATTCATTCATCCATCCATCCACCCATCCATCCATCCATCCATTCATTCATTCATTCGTTCATTCATCCATCCACCCATCCATTCATTCATTCATTCGTTCATTCATCCATCCACCCATTCATTCATTCATTCATTCATTCTTTTCTTTCTTCTTTCTTTCTTTCATTCATTCAACAACTATTTAGGAACGCCTGCCTTAAGTTCCTGACATTGTTCTAGGACACAGCACTGGATGCACACAGTGAAGAATGAAACAGACGCGGGCCTGGCCCTTGGCGCTAAAATCTTGGTGCAGACAGACATCAACAATTACAGAAATGTTCCCAGCTGCACATGTGGTAAAATGCAGGGTGGGAAAGTTCAGGTGCCGGAGAGCTGCATTTGAATGGCCAGAGAGTACGGAACTGCAACTGACTGACAAGTCAGGAAGGCCCCTGTGAGGAACTGCTGTGGGGGGAGCTGAGGCCTGAGGCTGAGGGCAGCTGGGTGGGAGCGCCAGGCCTGAGCAGGCAGAGGTGGAGCTCATGGAGAGGCAGGAAAGAGCTTGGCCCCTGGGAAGGCTTGGAAGAGAAGGTGTGTAAGACCGCAGGACTTTGCAAGCTTTGGAATAGATTATGCATTTTATGTTATTTTATTTATTTGTATTTTTGAGACAGTCTCACTGTGTCACCCAGGGGAGTGCAGTGGCGTGATCTCAGCTCACTGCAACCTCCGCCTCCAGGGTTCAAGAGATTCTCGTGCCTCAGCCTCCCGAGTAGCTGGGATTACAGGCACACGCCACTATGCTCTGCTGATTTTTGTATTTTTAGTAGAAATGGGGTTTCATGTTGGCCAGGGTGGTCTCAAACTCCTGACCTCAAGTGATCTGCCCACCTTGGCCTCCCAAAGTGCTGGGATTCCTGGTGTGAGCCACTGTGCCCGACCCAGATTATGGATTTTGAGTAACTAAAATGACAGACAAGGCCGGGCATGGTGGCTCATGCCTGTCACCCCAGCGTGGTCACAACGCTGGTCACAGAAGATTCTGGGGCTGAGGCACAGATGCATTAGCCCTCACCAAGGGCGGTGGGCCGCGGTTCAGCGCCTGGCAGGCCTTCCAGGCTGCCCGTCGCCTGTGCGGGGCGAACAGCCTCAAGGTCATCCTTACGCTGGGCACTTCCCCTTGGGCTTACACTGCCCTGCCTGGAGGCATCTGGCAGGGCCCCACCAGGCAGGAAGTACGCCAGGAAAGTGAAACACTGTGGGCGTATATGGCTTATGGGTTCCTCACCTCCGGTTCCAGGAAAACTCAAGGCAAACAGACCCAGATGCTAGGAACAAGCCTCAGGCCACAGCACTTAGAACGCCGCAGGCTTTGTTGTTTCTTCAGGGAGTGGCTTCACCGGTCTTGGAATCTGTCTTCCGCCATCGTCACTCATGCTGCTGCCAGCCCTTCTCCCCCGAGCCAACAGCACACCTGTCACCTCGGCACACCTGTGGAGTCACCAGAGGGACCATCTGGGGAAAACCATGCTACTGCCACTCAGCCTTCACGTTCCTGAACTTAAAAGACGCGAGGCCGCTAGGGGGCGTTCTCCACCTGAGGCAGTTCAAGGAGAGAAAAGAACTACCTTGATGGGAGATCTCTGGCTGACGTGATGGCAGAGGCTTGACGGAGGCTTCGAGGACTCAGATGTGGGAACGCCTCTGCCTCAGTACTCCAGCTCCAGTGCCCTCCTTGTCCCTGGGTGGAGCCTCCTCCTCTGAGAGAATGTCTTAAAAACTCTCCATTTCACTCGGTGACGCACGTGTGTCTTCTCACAGTGACCTTGTCACCTTAAGGGGTCAACAGCCTTCATACTCACCCTAACATCATCCCAGAAAAGAGGCGCCAGGAACTTTGGGCAAAAATACCTCAGCGTCACCGCATCCATCCCAAGAATGAGCCTGGCTCAGCCTCAGGCTCAGAGACCTCTGCACGTGGCAGTCCAAGAATCTGGGGCAGGTCAGTGACCCCGTTTCATCCTTGCCTCAGCTCTCCACCCACTCGATGGCAGTCCCAGAGCTGAGCAGCTCGCAGCTTCCGAGCAGCCGCTCTTGCCCCGAGCGCCCGGCCCTGCCACTTCCAAGGCATGTAATATCACTCAGTCTCTTCAAATCTCACCTCTCACCTGTGAAATGCGGCCGCTGTTAACAAGATGAGCTGTAAAGCACGAACACGAGCACCCAGCTGTGAACATCTGTATTATTCATGGAGTCATAATGTGCCCACAAGAAAAGGAAGAAGAAGTCCTGCTTCCCTGGTCTGCTCATCACAAGTCAGCTGACCCCCAGTAATTCGAAGAGACTCCAACACAGATGCAGAGGCCACGCTGCCTGCAGAGTTTAATCCACGAGGTCTGTAGGGAAGAAAGTGAATGTATTAACCAAAACTAGCAAAGGGGAAGCAGCCAGATTTCTACTTAAAGTAGCTGCTTTTAATTCTTTTCAGAGGGGGAAAGCATGGGTTTCCAAGGGAAAGCCTTGATAAGGAAGGCGCGCAAGATCTGGCTGAGTCCTGTGTCCACGTGTCTTTGTTCTGGTGGCTCTTTGGTCCCAGTCCGTCTGACCTCGAGCTGGACATTATTTTGAACAAACAACGGCCGGATTTTAAGGAGTTGTCATGAAGTAATTTCTGGGATTTTGCAGCTGGGTTTCAGATGTGGTTTGCTTTTCAAGATTTTAGCCTGAAACTTTTAGGAAGACACAGTCTAACTCGTGACATAGTTAGGTAAATGGAAGGATACATACAGATGGCGAGAAAAGGAGGGAGTGTATAGAGACAGCAAGAAAAGGGAGGGGGTGTACACAGGCGGTGAGAAGGAGGTGTAAGGCATGTGGCGTAGAAAAGGAGGGGTACACAGGCGCAGAAAAGGGAGGGAGTGTATAGAGATGGCAAGAAAAGGGGAGGGGTGGAAGGCTGAGGCGGAGAAAAGGGAGGGGGTGTATAGAGACGGCGTAGAAAAGGGAGGGGGTGTATACAGACGGCGAGAAAAGGAGGGAGTGTATAGAGATAGCAAGAAAAGGGAGGGGTGTACACAGGCGAAAGCAGGAAGGGAGGGGGTGTATACAGATGGCGAGAAAAGGGAGGAGGTGTATAGAGACGGGGAGAAAAGGAGGAGTGTGTATACAGACGGCGAGAAAAGGGAGGAGGTATAGAGACGGTGTGAGAAAAGGGAGGGGTGTATAAGCAGACGGCGAGAAAAGGGAGGGCGTGTATACAGACGGCGAGAGAAGGAGGAGTGTACACAGAAGGTGAGAAAGTGGAGGGGTGTACACAGGCAATGAGAAAAGGGAGGGGGTGTATACAGGCACAATGCAAAGGGAGGGAGGGCATGGACAGCAGAAAGGGAGGGGGTGTATACAGACGGCGAGAAAAGGGAGGGGGCGTGGAGTCCATTTTTAGGCTAAGGAAAACGGCTTTGCAGTTCCCCAAAGTTATATTTGAAACCCAAGAAAGCGGAAAGAACTAAATGCATTTTGAAGGTAAACTGCCGGTGCAAAACTGAAGACAATGTTCCAATGAAATCCTTGGCGTGGGCTTACTTTCTGTTACAGAAGCTGCCCTGCAGGTGCAGATGCGCTGGAAGTCCTCTCTTTCCTCAGTCACAACCAGAGGAAGGTCATTCTGGCCTCCCTCTGAGGATTCTGGCTCTGGCATCCGTGTCACAACGGCAATGCCAGTCACCAGCCTCTGACCACAAGACCCATGCCCCCAGGACCTATGCAGACACCGGGACCTACCCATGGCCCCAGGACCTACGCAGACACTGGGACCTACCCATGGCCCCAGGACCTACACAGACACCTTCCAGGGCAGGCAGGGCAGGCCATTTTCCAAAGCAGTCTGGGCTAAGGAGACAACAGCTGAAACCTCCTCCTGGCCTCTGAGAGCTGAGGATCAGACCCACAGGTGTGTGATGGAGGCTGAGAGCAGGGCTGTGGAACCGGAGTCAGCAGGGGCAGTGAGGAGGCTGCTGCAATAGCCAGAGTGACAGGGAGGAGGTAGCAAGCAACAAGAGGACGTGATGGGCAAACACTTGAGGAAGAGCAGCCAGTACCAACTAGACATTGGGGACAAGGAAGAGGAAGAAATCAAGAGGACCCAGAGCTTTCTGGGCTGATGTCTGGGGACTAGAATGAACAGAAGGAAGGAAGAAAGCTTGAAGGAAAGATTGACCTGACCTCACATTGCATGAGCTAGGCAGGAAACTGGGAGGGTGAGGCCAGCATATGGTGGAAGTCAGGAGAAGTACAGATTTGTAAGGCGAAGAGTAGACGAGGGTGGCCAGAGAGGAGGCAGCAGGAGAGGGAAAGTGCTGGAGACATGTCATTTGGGCCTGGAGGGGGAGGAGAGAGGCGGCAAGGGGAATGGAGGGCCCGGGAAAGTGGACGGTGGAGCAGGACCCGTCAGCTTCAATGAAGGTGAGGCTGGGTGTGGCACGAAGCCGCGCCAGGGAGAGCACGCTGAGGTGGGTGCTCAATACACATCTGTCAAATTCATGAACAAAGAAATGGATGGGGCCAAATTTACGAGACGCGCAGGGACTGTAGAAAATTGTTCTTGCGGTTGGGAAGGAGATTCTGGTAGCTCTGAGGAAAACGACTTGAGCCAAGTGCCTGAGGTGGGGGCAGAGCGAGCAGCGCGTGGTAAAGAAGAGGCAGCTTAGGATGCCCCTCCTTCTCACGGTGCTGGGAGGCAAAACAAAAGACAGGGATGAGGACGACACAAATGGATGAGAGACTTGTTTTAGGCCCAGAGACACCTAAACATGGTCACAGGCAAAAGAGAAGGAGAAAGGCAGAAAGAGCGTCAGAGGCAGAGGCAGAGCAGTGAGCCATCCAGGCAGGAGGGAGCCACAGGCCCCGGGAGGTGCGGGAAGGCTCTGGGCATTGAAGGAGATGAAGGGCATGGCTTTGGTCCTTTCAGTAAAGTAGAAAATGGAGGTCATGGGGGAGAGGAGAGACTCCTTTTTCTCCCAATATCAACTCTTGACGCTCAAATCTCCCAGTTGTCTGCTCTGCAAGTGTATAAGCACAGAGTGAGAACAGTAAGTTTCAGCTGTCTGACAGCCTGATGGAACCTGGACGGCCTGGCTTGCGCCCTGGTGAGAGTCAAGGTCAGTTCATTTGGCCAACACTTGAGCAGCAAGAACAAGGCTATGAATATTTTTTAGAATAAAACTTGAGTAAGTCTTCAAATTTCTCTGCCTTACAACTTCAGCAAGATGGTTTTAGCTTACAAACATTAAAAGTGGATACTATCATTTTATTTTAAGGGAAGTATTTTCTTAACCATGTGGTCCACGGACCACCTATACCAGGATCACTCTGGGCATGTGTTAAAATGCTGAGGCACTCTGGGCTTTTGGAGAACCACTGTCCATGCTGGGATTTTAGGTGTACATGACATGCCCAGCTGAGAACCGTTTCTCACCAAAAGTAACTCTCCATAGTCTCTCCGTCCACTAGGATTTCTCTCTTTTCTTTTCTTTTTTTTTTTTTACAGATAGGTCATACTTGAACACAGAATTTCTTACCTACAAATAACCTACTCAGATTTAGTAGATTGAGTTACTCTGCAAACTAAGCTTCTAAATAGCTGAATAATCAATCTGTGGCAGGAGTGGCTTCAGATGCTTGGAACAACGGTGAAAGACAAATACAGTAACTGTGGTTTTGTCGTAACGAATGCTCATCTTCCTCTCACAAGCTCAACAGACTGAGAGATTTTGACAGCGCCTTCTCCCCAGACAACAAAACTATGTCCTCGCAGGCAGTGACTCACCTGTCCTCCCGTTTGCCGCAGCAGGAAACTAATCAACCCAGCTCAAGATGAGCAGGTTCTCTAAAATAAAGATGCAAAACGAGGACTATCAGGACACAGCCTTGTTTAGCAAGATTTTCTTTCTTTCTTTCTTTTTTTTTTTTCTGAGATGGAGTCCTGTTCTGTCGCCCAGGCTGGAGCACAATGGCACGATCTCGGCTCACTGCAACCTCCGCTTCCCGGGTTCAAGCAATTCTCCTGCCTCAGCCTCCCGAGTAGCTGGGATTACAGGCACCTGCCACCACCCCCTGCTAATTTTTGTATTTTTAGTAGAGATGGGGTTTCATCATGTTGGCCAGGCTGGTCGTGAACTCCTGACCTCAAATGATCCACCCGCCTCGGCCTCCCAAAGTGCTGGAATTACAGGTGGTTTACTGCACCTGGCCGATTTTTCAATCGATGCTACGAAGCAAAGAGCAGCAGGTGAGGGATGGGGCCTGTCCTGGATCGTGCCCCTTTGTTCACAGGCTGGGAAATGGGGAAACAGGCACATTCTGCACACTGCCAACAGGTTCGTAAATTGGCAAGCTTTCTGCAAAGAAATTTGGCAGTATTTCTGTATTAATAACATGAAAAATTTTATAACAGCATTAACCAGTAATTCCAGTGATAGAAATTTAAGTTAAGGAGATGAGCTGAAATATCGTAAATCAAACATTATACACGAAGATAGTCATCAGGGCTTTATTTAAAATAAGCAATACATTGGAAACATTCTAAATGTCCAACAGTAAGTTAACAATATGAGCTTTTTCTACGATGATTTATTATTTAATGTTTAGGACGGGTGCGGTGGCTCACACCTGTAATCCCAGCACTTTGGGAGGCTGAGGTGAGCGGATCATCTGAGGTCAAGAGTTTGAGACCAGCCTGGCCAACATGGTGAAACCCTGTCTCTACTAAAAATACAAAAATTTAGCCTGGCATGGTGGCACACACCTGTAATCTCAGCTACTTGGGAGGCTGAGGCAGGAGAATCACGGAGGTGGAGTTTGCAGTGAGCCGAAATCATGTCATTGCACTCCAGCCTGGGCAACAAGAGCGAAACTCCATCTGGAAAAAAAAATGTTTAAAGGCTATGTCCAATATTCCGTAAGGGAATGGACACACAGACACACACACACACACAGTGTCACACATACACACACACACACACACAGTGTCACACACACACACAGACACACACACACAGTGTCACACAACACAGTGTCACACATACATACTAGCAACACACAAACACACAGAACGGGTATAAAAGGAAGATGTGTTAAGGAGATGTTGCGAAAGCAGGAAGGTGGGAGTCCACGTGGTTCCATCGCACAGAGAGGTGGGTACGGTGACACACAGCAGGATGTGGTCCAGGAGAGAGACCTGCCCTGTTGAAGGGAAATGGGAATGGTAAATAGCACTTCCAGTGGGAAATGGCTTCGTTAGGGAAGGAAGCCACCAGAGCTCAGCAGGAGTTTTATACAGCACTCCTAGATTTGAGCCGGCGGAGCTGAGCTCTCCCAGCCCCCTGAGCCACTTCTGTAGGACTCCAAAAGGGGGAAGCAAGGAACTGCGATCCACATAAAAAGATGTGCTCTTCTCGGCTATGTTTACAAAGCTAGTATCTTGGGAAGAAATGCTCATATCAGGTATAGCTAAAAAGGCAGGACACAAAATTATGTATACTGAATAAGTTAAACTATATATATATACACACACACATACACACACACACACATGTTTTGTTTCTGTTTTTGTTTTTCTTTTTTGAGAGACGGAGTCTCGCTCTGTCGCCCAGGCTGGAGTGCAGTGGCGCGATCTCGGCTCACTGCAAGCTCCACCTCCCAGGTTCACGCCATTCTCCTGCCTCAGCCTCCCGAGTAGCTGGGACTACAGGCGCCCGCCACCTCGCCCGGCTAATTTTTTTTCTATTTTTAGTAGAGACGGGGTTTCACCATGGTCTCGATCTCCTGACCTTGTGATCCGCCGCCTCGGCCTCCCAAAGTGCTGGGATTACAGGCGTGAGCCACCGCGCCCGGCCAAACTATATATTTTAAAGCATAAAATCCTAGAAGGAAGCCTTTATCTAGCAAAAAGATTATGGGTTTTGATTCAACTATCTAAATGTTCCAAATGCACGTAACTAGTATGTGTGTTTTCGGCATATTTCAATGCAGTTGTACAATTTGTCCACAAAGATTAAGCACGTTTTTTGTTAGACTTATTTTTATGTACTTTTTTTTGGTCACCATCATAAACACTATAGTCTTAAAAATATTTTCACTGATATATAGGAATGCAGTTTTTTTTGTTTTTTAATCTTGTTTTGAGGCAGAGTCTCCCTCTGTCATGCAGGCTGGAGTGCAGTGGGGCGATCGTAGCTCACTGCAGCCTTGAACTCTTGGGCTGAAGTGCTCCTTCCCATCACCTCTGAGTCGCTGGAACTTCATGTGTGTGCCACTGGGCCCAGCTATTTTTGTTTTTATTTGCAGAGACAGGATCTTGCTATGTTGCCCAGGTTGGTCTCGAATGCCCGGCCTCAAGTGTTCCTCCTGTCTCAGCCTCTCAAAGCACTGGGATTACAGGCATGAACCACCACACCCAGCTGGAATGCAATTATTTTAAAAATTTTGATTATGGATGTAAAATCCTTGCTAATAATTTATATGTTTGGGAAGTTTCTATGTAAACAATTATGTTATCTGCAACAACCATTGGCTTATTTCTTATCCCTTCCATACCCAAAAAATAACTTTTGTGTACTCTCATACCTTTTGTTTATTTTTCTCGTCTTATTTCACCAGCTAAAACCTTCAACCGAATGTTGATTAGAAGCAGTGATTGTTGGCATCTTGGTTTTATTCCTGATTTTACGGAAACGTTTCCAGTGTTTTAAGTATAATGTTTACATAGGGTTATAATTGACATTGTTTATCAGGTTAAGAGAGTTAACGTTTCCTTTAGTTTGCCTGGAGTTTTAACGGGAATAAGTGCTGACTTTTATCGAATACTTTTCCTGTATCTGCTGCTGTGGTGATTGTGTTTCCTCCATTCCAGTTTCATATATGGTGATTTACATTAAGAAAGCATTGTCTTTATCTTGCATTTCTGATTTAAACTCAGCTTGATCATGATGTACTTTAAAAATTTATTTATTTATTTATTTATTTATTTATTTATTTATTTATGACAGAGTCCTGCTCTGTCACCCAGGCGGGACTGCAGTGGCACAATCTCAGCTCACTACAACCTCCGCCTCCTGGGTTCCAGCAATTCTCGTGCCTCAGCCTCCCGAGTAGCTGGGATTACAGGTGTATGCCACCAAGCCCAGCATTGTAATCCAAAAAAAATACAATTTTTTTGGTATTTTTACCAGAGACAGGGTTTCTCTAGGTTGGCCAGGCTGGTTTGGAACTCCTGGCCCCAAGTGATCCACCCGCTTCGGCCCTGCCAGTGTTGGGGTTACAGGCGTAAGCGACCGTGTCCGGCCATGATGCACTTTTTAAAATTCTGCTTTGACTTGTTAATATTTTATTTATGATGCTTCCATCTATTATTAATCTGTAGTTTGTCTTTCTTATCCAGCTCTGGTTTCCAACCTTACAAAATT